ACCTCTATCTGTTGCCACTCCCTTCGCAGCTCTATTTCATCTCCCTCTTCGCTCGACATCCCCTTTCCATTCGATCTCCCTACTCCTTCGCCGCCCTTCGCCGCCTCTGTGACCCCGACTCCTCCTTCAGATCCGCCGTCGGATCCCTCGTTGCCTCCTATCCCACCGTCGTCTCCTCCCTCCTCCTTTGCCCCCTCTCCGACGGGCTCCTCCACGAGAAGGACCAGAACGTCCAGTCCGCCGCCCGAATTCCGCTCATCCTCGTTATTCCATAAGGTTGAATCGAAATTCTAGTTATATGATATTGCATATATATGCGATTGTTGTATTATATTTTTATCATTTGATGTTGATATCTGTTGAGCTCATTTTGCATGGTCTCTTCTCAGTTTGAAGTTCGTATTTGCGATCACATACATTTATGTAGGGAGAAGCCTACAACCACATAATTAACCCATTTGATTGTAATTTATACGTAGGTGTACTAATTCATATCCGATTCATATCCGTTTGTCAAATATTCGTTTCATATCCGTGATCGTATCCGATCTGATTCTCTAATATCCGAACCGTATCCGTTCCCGATGAGTGCGGATATGAATATGATAAGTATCATATCCGAACCGTATCCGCTCCGTTAACACCCCTACTTGTGAGTCATCTCATTTACTTAAAACTCTCTCCTCGGAATAGCTGCAGTGCTTAATTAGAGTGTTGACAATTGTAATGACACTGCTGACCTCTGAGAGTGCTGCTACAGAGTTTATTTAACTTCTTAATCGGGACGGTGATTTTATTAAGAAGATTAAATATTCATATTATGTTGGGAACCTCCTTCTTGTTTAGAATAATTTAGTAGCACTGGTTGCATGCACTCTCAGTAACCCACTCTGTTTTCTTTACTTCCTTCGCGTAAAACCTGTTTTTTTTTCCCCTGCCGGGATTCTCTTTTATGCAACGATGTTGTTCAATCTTAACTAATAAGTGTTGCTATGAGAATTTCTCTCTCTTTTTTATTACTTTAATGAGATTGAACCGTATCATTTTCATATTAGAGAATCGCTTCGTATGACAATAAAACTCATTTTTCTCATACCATTAGACTCTTATAATTATATTTGAATTATAAGAAACAATAATGTAGAGTCATTTTCCTTTAAGTTCTATCAAAATCGATGAGTCATTAAAAACCTTTTAAACGTTAATTTCTACCGGTGCAAAAACAGTTGAGGGTCTATAGCATAGCTACTCTATTGGGAGTGTTCGATGTGTTGCTATGTATATTTGTTACAGAAATATGTACATATGTATATGTATATATGTACATATGACCCATTTTTTTCTAATAAGTATATTTCCCTCAAAATGGGACCAAGTTTAAACCTAATCCCATTTTGAGAGGTTGCCAAACTTCAAAATGTCGACATTTTTACCCCTAAAAAAGTCAATTTTCCTTGAGTTTCTTTTGCGCTAGCATACGTTTAGTTGTATTTGTGAAAGGGGCATCCTTATATCTATCATATTTGCGAAGTTATCTTCCAACGCACATATTTACTAAATTATCGCTAATTCTCTCATATTAGATTTTCGTATCTTCTTACTTGACAATCTGTTTTTTGAAATAGTCGAGAAGTACACAGTCAAAACTATGCATTCTTTCTCGTTGCCGATGACAGCCGACAATAATGACCCTCCTCTCTCTCTCCCTAACAAAACAAATTATAAAGTGAACCCAAATCCAAGAAATTAAATATTAGAGAGATATCAATATTTAGATTATAGAATTTCATGATTCATGCATGTACCAAGCATGAACCTTTTAGATTGGTAATTTTTTCGAGGGTTTTGTTAGCAAGTATTAATTAAGAAAAAGATGGAGAGATACTGCATGGCCCTCACTCTTCCTGTCTTCGCACTGTGGGGAGAACTATGGCCGCAGATATATTTTTCTTTTTAACTTTTATCGCTTAAAAATGGCATTTGGGGAGCATGGGCAATCTGAGGTTTATGCTGCCTTAATGGGGTTAAACTGTAAATCACGAGGGCACAAATTAAATTCTAGCAATCAATTTTTTTGGGGACCAAAACTCCCAAAGCACTGAAAAGAGAGATCTCGCAAAATTGGCAACAAGCCAAGTATAAAGTAAAGAGCTTTGCTACAGGGACCCAAAATATGGAACCAATAAATGGGACAAGTGAAGTGTCCTCCTCCTATTGGATAATGAGTTGGCCATCATTAATGATGGCCAACTCATTATCCAATAGGAGGGGGACACCTCACTTGTCCCCCCTATTGGTCCCATATTTTGGGTCCTTAAAGAGTTTTTCTAAAGTAAAACTTCCTTACGGTGCCTCTCTTTTATCCTAGGCTTCTCACGGGACCCTTCATAAAACCCCCATAAGTTTGGGTCTCTTTTAATAAAACTCGCTGAACTAGTGACATTCATGAGGTTTGATAGGGGTTTAGTAGAATTTTGAATGTTTTGAGGTTCCCATTATTTATAAAGTTTAGAGGGGTTTTGCAAAAGTTCAAGGTGGTCCATTGTGAAATTTGCGTATGTATAGTTGCCACTGCATGTATTACTAAGAAATTCAATTTTATACTGTAAAGCCCAGAATAAATAAATAAATAAATAGCCTCAGGTTGAGAAGGATCTGAATCCATTCCATATTTATACCAATAAACCTGTCACTATGAAAATTTTAGGAGAATAATTATGCAATTAATTCTTTGTCAAATATACTCAATAAATTGCTTCGATCTTGGCTTATCGGTTCAACAGTACGTAGATTAGATTTCTACTTTCAATTATCTTCGCTTATCTGTTGCACCCGGAGATTTCTCCATAGCTTGAAACTTTAGAATTAACCCTACCAGCAAATGATGCTGACTAGCGAGAGCTTGAGTTGCTCAGGCGAGCCCTAATTACCTGCGTGTTATTACCTTCTCCATACGCGCGCGACAACCGCGCGAAGATGGATTCTACCGACCGTGGAGCTCTGATACTATTAGAAGAGCTTTGCTATAAGGACCCAAAATATGGGACCAATCGGGGGGACAAGTAAGGTGTCCCCCTCCTATTGGATAATGAGTTGGTCATCATTAATGATGGCCAACTCATTATCCAATAGGAGGGGGACACCTCGCTTGTCCCCCCGATTGGTCCCATATTTTGGGTCCTTAAGGAATTTTTCCTATTAGAACGATCCGTACGGATCAAAGATGTGATCAATGATTGAGGAGTAATCAGTCGGTCACTACTACGCATTCTCCCGGCGAATAATTCAGATTAGAGTATGTGTACTTTATACTTATTATGTCTCCACCCAGAGATTCTCGTCTATACTATAGTTCGCATTAGGGACCACCAATGATCTTTTGTCGCCGATTAATGCTGGAGGTGATCTTAACTTGGTCGCTAGTGCTGAAGGTGCTAATTAAGCACTATTTCTTCACATGCCCACGCTCTCAAGGGGAGAGCCCGTTTTTAATTGGTCTCGTCGTGATACACTTTGTTTGTTCGCCAGAAGGATGTTGGTGATTATTTTATTTCAAATTACAAATACTAATATAATGGGGGGCAATAAATTCCGAAAACTTTCAAAATAGTAATGAAGCTCCCAATAACTTTTATAATTGCAAAATATTCCTATTAAGTTTCCGTGTTTTTCAGATACACCCCCATAAATTCGAGCCAAAAAGCAATATAAAAAGGCTTTTTAAAAGTAATTATGGTTTTGGTGTAATTTGCCCAAAATTTTTCTTTTCTTTTCTTTTAGGGTGGGGTTTTTTCTTTTTCTTTTTCTTTTTTTTTTTTTGGGGGGGAGGGGGCTTTTGCAAAACTTATTGGAAGTTTAGTGTGATTTTGAAAGTAATTGGTGGATTCCAACAAAATGCTGGAAATTCTTGCGGGTTTAGTCTAATTTACTTACTAATAAATATGGCGTCAGAGAAAATCTTATGTAAACTTAAGTGGATAGGAGCTAGTCATCCACCAACTTTTTTATCCATTAATGTTGCCTTAGGATCTGTTAAAGATATGAAGTCTTTTGAGATTTGTGCATCTCTTGATGATACAAATCTAAAGATAAGATGAGTGGATAAAATGTTTGGTGATCAATGTCTCCTATCCACTTAAGTTGACATAAGCTTATCTTATGACGCCAATGAAGACACTAATATATGACAGACACACCATGGAAATAAAACAGCTATAACAAATTTAATAATTGGAGCCTAAATCTAACATTGAATTGATAGAATGGCTAAGAAAAATATATGTGACTCAGTACTAAGTACTATTTTTTAAATTATAGAATAAACTAACCCAAAAAAAGAATAAAAATTAAGCTACAGAAAAAGAAAAAGAAAATATCTCGACATGTTTGATGGGCTTTTTGTGAATAACTCCGATCACAACCTCATCTAGCTGGTGTTAGCATTAACTTTGATTATTACTTATTTATTTAGTTATTTATTTATTTATTCTTTATGTTTCTGGAGAACTTCCGAGCTTGTAGTGAATGAATCTAGCTTTTTCTGATGCTTCATGAGATCCAGCCTTGCATTCACTTACACTTTTGGATAGACATTAATGGATAGAAGTTAAAGTAAAATTTAAATTTAATCTTGTTTGGAAGTTTTTTTGAGGGGTTAGAGGATGGAATGGAAGGTTAAATTTCCTTCCATTTTCCTCCTCTCCAATTTAGGGGGTAGAGGAAGGAATGAAAACCAATGCAAAATTTTACAATGTGATATGTTACGATATCATTTGTGATGTTTATTCCTTGATTCTAGGATAGGCTATATGTGGGTGCTTGCTTTGTTATAGGAAACTATTTCCTAAAATATGTTTTACATTTCCCAAACTATTGTCGTGCATCATGGGGCATTTTTAGGCAACTATTATTTTGCCTCTTGTATATATATCACGTTGAATCAATGAGAAAAGGTAACCAACCTAAATTTATCATGGTATCAGGCTAGGTTTAGGTTGCTTCAGAAACAAAAAAAAAATTTCTTTCTCCTAAACCATGGCTGATGGAGCCACACCTCCATCACCGGTGAAGAAAGATCCACCACCGGCAAAGATCGATCCCAGTTCGCCATTCTACTTAGGGCCACACATCGCCCTGGCGACTTCATTAATCCCATTCGTTTGAAGCTTGACAATTTCGATGAGTGATCTCATGCTATCCGCGTCGCTCTTTCCTCTCGGCGCAAATTCGGTTTTTTTAACGGGACAATCACAGATATCGTCCCCCCTTGTACGAAAGATGATTGAGTCACAATCCAAAGCATGCTTGTCTCATGGCTCACGAATACAATTGACCCCGAGGTATGTTCTATGCTATCGAATTATGATGATGCCAAACGCTTATGGGATGACTTGCATGAACGATTCTCGATTGTGAATGGTCCGCGTATTCACCAACTTAAGGGAGATATTAATCGTTGTGAGCAAACAAAACTTATGCTTGTTGCTGTTTATTTCAGTAAATTGAATGTTTTATGGGATGAACTAGATAAACATGAGCCTTTGATTTCTTGCAAGTGTGGCAAATGTACTTGTCAGGTTGGTAAACAACATGAAAAACGGCGTGCCAACGATAGGTTGCACCAATTTTTTCTTGGCCTATGTTCTGATTATTATGCCCAATTGCGGTCGACTCTTTTGTCGCAAGATCCTCTCCTTACGTTGAATCGGGCATTCCAACAAATCGCTTAAGATAAATGGGTTCAGGGGATCACACGCATCACCGAAGAGAAACCCGATGTTGTTGGTTTTGTTGTGCGTACTGAGAATAGATCCAAACCGCATCTTGATAGAACGGCAAAGGCGGCCTTGATTTGTTCTCTGATGCGGCATAAACATATACCAGAAATTACAAGTGCACAGTTAATCAAGTTATAGTATAAAAAGTTATCGATCTCACGAGTAAGGTGTTTGTAGGAAATTATTAGAATCGGTTCGTATGTTGTGTGCGTGACAATTAGGAGTAATGATAGATGTGATTTTGGAGAGATAGAGAGAATCATAATGATTGTATGTAAAAAAAATGATATTGAGAGTGATAGATAAAGAACAAATAAAATCACAAGGAAAGAAAGAAAAAATGAAGGAAATAAAAAATCAAGAAAATAAAAGAAAAGGAAAAATAAAGAAAGAAAAGAATGAGGGTTCAATGAAAGATATGATGAATCTAGAATTGAATCCACCTCAAAAGAAAAGAAAATTCCCTAGAGGGTTCTAGCCTCAATGTGAATCAAAGAGTATGAAAATAAAGAAAAATAAAAACTAATCCCAAGAGGGTTCTAGCCTCAAGATAAATAGTGCAAGAAAATAAAATCTAACTACAAAATAAATTACAAAAACTAAACTATAAAATAAATTGCAAGAATTAAATACAAGAAAATAAATCTACTCTATAAGCATGAAATAAATCTACTCTATAAGCATGAAATAAATCTAAAGCAAGAGGGTTCTAGCCTCTTGGCTATTTAAGCAAGAAAATAAAAAGATAAAAATTTTAACAAAGAGAAAATTTACCACCCAAGAGGGTTCTAGCCTCAAGATGAAAGCAAACCTCACTCTTGATCTTCATCTTCATCCCATCTTCATTTTTATCATCAAACAAAGAGAAGAAAATAAAAATATAAAGAGGTAAAAAAATTCTTTTATTGATTATAACAAAAAAGTTACAAAATTAGAAGATTTTCTCAATTAAGAGTAACTCTCCTCTCCAAATGGAGTTATAAAATTTTTTACACCCTTAATCCCTCACTCTCTACCCCTATTTATAGTAAACAACAATGAATGAGAGCCCTTTGATGAAGACTTAAGCCCTAAGGAATCATTTTTAGCCTTTGAGCTTTTGGGCTTGGATTTTTGGGCATTTTGCTTGTTTTCTTCATTAATTCAATGGACTTGTATTGAGACTAGATATCTTGGACTTTATTTTTTATTAACCTTCAAATTCTTCCCATAATTACTTCTCCAGTGCAGAAATTCAGATTGTGCTTCTTTGTACGAATATTTGTTCATGATATGTTCCAACTTTAGAGATATCACAAATATAAAAGTTATAGATCTCGTTCTCAGCTTTCCAGAGAATGTTTATTCAGCCCATTCCGAGTTGATATGAGAGAGATATGGCCAAAACACCAAACATTACCGAGATGTCCAGATTACATGATTTGTTTCCTTTTTCACCAAACTTCTTCGTTTGTTCCTTGATGGTATATTTATTTTTCTTGTGCTTTTGGGCTTGGACTTTTAGGTTTGTTGCTTGTATTCTTCATTAATTCTTTAGGGCTTTTGTTGAGAGAAGTGATCTTGGGCTTTTATTCTTTATTAACCTGCAATTAAAGATAAAAATAATTATTAGTAGTATATTTATTCATTAAAAATAGATAATAATGATATAAAATTATAATAAAAATGTGATTATCATTCTCACTGTCACAAATCAGGTCATGATATTGCTACCTGCTTTGATATACATGGTACTCCGGATTGGTACTTGGAGAAATATGGTTCTAATCTAGAGGGAAAAGTCAATTTGAAAGGCAAATCAACCGCTCCGTCAACAAAGAATTCGACATGTCATGGTCGTAACGGAGTGCGTGCTAATGTCGCTACACCAGTTTCTTATTATATATAAATGATGGACTAATGTCTCGCAGACAAACATCTGCAGTGAATATGTCACATGGTCTTGTTACAAGTGATCTATAGGCTACGTGTCAAAACCGGCCCCCACGCGAGTGGGCGATTCTGAGTCATACGCCGGTGGTTCTGAGAGGATCCGAACTCAATTTCTTTGAGCATCGTAACAACAAAAGAGCAAAACAATGTGTAAAGGAATTCTGAGTGGTGCCTTTCGTCTAAAAAATTAAAAAAATTTCATTATAGTTTATTTTTTTATGTGAAACATATTTGTTTGTATCACACCCAAAAAATTACGTACGCATTTCCTTAAATTGAATGCTTATCATCGTTGTTATTATTTTTGTAAATAAAAACGGTTGCGATTTCTAATCATTAAAGATTGCAGGCCTCACTACTACAATATAATTTCTTTGACATTAACTCCATTTCTCGAACACTAAAAATAGAATCCTTCCTGGAGCACATTTATTCCTTTATTTATTTATTTATTTATTTATTATTATTATTAATATTACTTGCTACCTATAATCTAGAGGAGCACTTTCTCTCAAGCCTAATATGACAACATTCATCCAATTCCATCAGATCCGCACATTTGCTCAGGGTCTATGCCAATTTTGCCAATTAACCAACTCACCGAAATGAAGTTTTTAAATCCAAAGAGGAGACGGTACCATTTAAGAGAGAGGATATCCGCACTATAAATAGTCCAATAATCCCTCCCAATTCATACATTCATGATTTGCCTAAATCATTAGAAATTTGCAAATCCCAATATGACCCGCGGTTAGATTCGTCGATAATAACCTACAATGACAAACATCCTCGAGGAGTTCAATCGATTGCACATCGACCAGGCTGCTGAATGTTGAGCACTCTAGAAACTGAGCTTCGTTATGCTTAACTCACATAAAATGACTGCAATCAGAAGAAACATTAAAGTTATTTATTATACACACCACTTAAATCATGTGTATTTGCAAATCTACCTTCCAAATCTCATTATTTGCAAAATTGTCCCCAAATCTTCAACTTTGAAGCACGATATCCCGAACCAATAAATCATCAACTTTGATAAGCTAATTTATGACAGCAATGTAAAAAATATCAACAAAATATTCAAATTTTAACTCGCAATATACAACTAAGTTGTTGATGATTTGATGATTTGCAGTTTTCCTAAATTGATGGTTTTGGGTGTACTTTCTCAAATGCTGAGATTTGGGGGCTAGTCTTGCAAATAAACATGATTTAAGGAGTAGTAATGGTGATGATAATAATAAATACCAAACATGAAAGATTGCAGTACCTTCTCTCACAGAAGCGGTGGATCTCCTAGTTAGGAAACGACAGAATATGAAATTCACTACAAAATAATCAAGCGAATCAGCTGACCAGAATATCGAAAAGCCTTGGTTGCTTCTCTTAGACATCTATTCTTCTCATCTCGAGACCAGTGCTGCAACAGAGATTTCCGTTTTGGTTGCAAATAAGTGTATACATATTATAACATTAATTAAAAAGTTAAATAATGCTTGCGGAAAGTTGCAGCAAACAGAAGGGTGTAGGCACCGAACCTCTCCAAGACTGTTGAGCTTCTCTCTTACATCGCTCAACAACTCCATCACATTGCCCTTCCATTTATAGAACTCGAGTTCCTTTCCTTGCAAAAGCTTTTCACACACCTATTACAAGGAAGTAGAAAATATCAGTGTTAAAAGGGTAGGAAGTCAAACCACCAATCTTCATTATGATAGTACAATTTAACTGCATGGAAATTGGGCACAATGTAATGCATAAAGCAAGTCACTGGGTCATATTTCAACGTTCAGTTCGTGAATAACATTTCCATATGATCACTATAGACCTAATGCAATTATCTCTACAGGAGTAAGTATTTCCTTGACTCCCATGGTTGTTGATGTATCACTATAAAGAAACTTCAACCCAGTTATGTATACGAAGCTTTCTACAGAATTTTTACAAGAGTTGTTAAATTAGCTCCCTCCCTGTGGTATAATTTATATATAGAACTGTGTCGTAATCGTGGATAGGGTTTTCAGCCTATCCTTCCCATCCTCATTTCCTCTCTGAATAAAGGGTGCTCATATCCTCTTTGTGTGTGTGTGTGTGTGTCTATGTGTGAGTGCGCGCGCGTGTTTGCTTATCCAATACAAATACTCACGATACTCTAGAGCTCTCAGTATGTTAATGTAAAATAAAATGCGGAGGAAAACAGACGATAACTCTTTGTTCTTTTAAACTAAGTATTAGTTCGGAGTTGACTAGGGGGAGGGCTTTCCTATATTATGTTATGATTGATAGGCTGGCTGCACTTCCTTTGAGGTAAGAAAAGTTCCTTTTGCAAAAATTGCAAGAAAACAACCTATTTTTATAGTTTTATACAAACACTGCGGTTAGTTCATAACAAAATAATAGTTGGTTATGGTTTGGGGACTTGGGCGATAAACCCCAGGAGGGAACACAAGATGACGAGCGCTTAGGTATTTAGCCAATAAAATTAAACAGTTCATATGGAGGAGAACTGATCATCAGTCTTCATACTGTTGAAAGTTCAATGATTTCTCATGATTGTACTCTTTTTGGACAAAGCTGCATTAACATTCAAGAGCTTCACGGTCATGGGTAATCAATTGTCTACAAGCACACTGTGAGAAAATGCGCCCAGTCTGATAGAGAATATAGATGATTCAATCGGAAAGAGTTCAACTCGTGCTCAAAACAAGTGAAGAGGATCTGCAAATGCCATTGACAGACAGTAATAAAGCCTCTTTACAGAGTTCAAGTGTGTGGAGTTCAAACCTGACTTGCATCAATCTATGGTCTAGTCTCCAAGAAAAAAGAATGGGTAATGTCTATATTATTATAGAAAGCTTGATGAAAGCGATGATAAAAAGAACAGAAGAATATATTAAAGGAGAATTTCCAAAGAATGTTATAACTTTAGTTTGGATGTAAAGCTCAGAATTCCAATGCATTATAATAAATTTTTTTAATATTCAAGAATGGGTATTGTCTATACCATAAAAAGTTTGATGAAAGCGATGATAATAGACAAGGAGAATATATATTAAAGGAAAATTTCCAAAGAATATTCTAACTTTAGTTGAGATGTAAAGCTCAGAATTCCAATGCATTATATATATATTAATATATATAATATAGTATATATATATATATATAAATTATATATATATTATAGACACACACACACACACACACAAATATATAAATATATATATATATATATATATATATATATATATATATATATATATATATATACACACACACACACACACATATGTATATGTATATGTATATATACATATGTATATGTATATATACAGGCAAACAATGGTTACATCAACAAGCTTTTATCTCAATTATGATCAGCAACTGGAATCATTTTTCTCCATTCAGAAGCTATCTCAAGAGATATTCTCTCTTAAGTGCAATTATAATTCCTTTAGCTTTCTATTTTTATCTAAAGAAACTGAGATAACCATAAAAGAAATTATATTTCCTCAATTTCTTATTCTAGTCTAAAAGCAATTATAATATCCATATTGCAACTTTAGTTAGAAATATGTAGAAATAAAAGAATTAGACATTTAGATCTTTAAACCAGGTTTACACCACTTATGAGTTTTCTAGAAATGCTAATCAAATTGGAAGCTTAAGAAGATGAAGAATACTCCTGATCAGTAAACACAAAGGATAGAGCAAACAAGTTCCTTCAATGCCTGTAGAGGCAACAGCTACTACGGAGGATATCATATGACTAATTCAGTAATTCTTCCAACTTTCCGATACAAAATATCTTTCATACTAATTAGAAGACAACTATGAGAAAGTCAACTTGAATAGAGAAATGAAGGAATCAGATGTTCAAACCATGTTTAAACCAATTATGAATTTCCTAGAAATACTAATCAATTGGGAAGGTCAAGGAAATGGAAATTACCCATGATCAGTAAATACAAAGGGTAGAACAAAAGAGTTCCTTCAATGCCTGCTATCATGTATGTCTCTATGACTAATTGCCCTAACTTTCTGATAGAGAACAAATTTCATATAAATTAGAAGGTGACCACCAGAAAGTCAACGAGGATGTTACACAGAAGTAAAAGTTAAGTTTTCAGTAAAGAATTGAGTGAGCCTAGAAAGATAAGTCATAAATTCGAGCACAAGAAGTCAGCACACTATCTGTTTTCACATTAAGAATTAATAGTTTCAAGTTTCAACATGTGTGTGGGGTTCTCTAACAAATATAATAACTGTGTGCTTTGCATACACGATTACTCTAAGGAGACAAGTTAAAGATATGATTAATTTAATTTGAAAAATGAAATGTTACTTAAACAAACTTCATTTACCTTTTTGAACTTTATTACAGGAAGAGCACAAGAGAAAAGAAAGAATGTGTGGAAATAGAAGAGGATGCATGGGAACCTTGAAGAGTCCTTTGGAATTATTGAATTTGACTAATCATACAAAACAAAATTTTATTCACAATTACAGACCCTAAATTATTACACCAGAGGGAAATCGTTAGAAGCAAAGAGGCTACATGAGCACAATAATGAGCATAATAGCTGAGATCAGGTTATAAATGATGTTTAATACAATCAGAAAAGACAAGTTTACAGAGAAGTGTATTAGGAGGAGGCCAGTGATGATACCCATTACATATAGGAAGAGATAAACTCACTTTGGATGCTTCCATATGTTGAATGTTTCAGATGAAGTTATCAACACATATATGGAAACTAAGAAGTAGAAACAAGTGACAAGAAGAAGAAAAGTCAAAGAAAAAAGTGAGAAATGATACGGAAATATTTTTAGCTCAAAGGACTTGCCCTGGAGGAAGGTAACTGCAAAACACAGAATTGCATACAAGTGTCAAAATCATGCATAAATCTTTCTATCCAAGGAATATAACTATCTATATCCCAGAAGTTTTCAGGAATATCGTAAGAACGCATCAAAATGCTCTGTCATTAGATAATAAATTTTAGCAGCCATTACTGATCTCAAGTATAGACTAGCTACCTGTCTACCTATCGCCTGGCCACCCGATATGTGCGCAAAGTAAATGTTGTATAGATGACATAGGAATGATGGAGCACTTTTCTCAGATAATTCTTCAAGGTAAGTGGCATAAGTTACTCCAGGAGAGCTTGGTTGGGGAATGTCAATCCCTTGTTGCCTGAACCATTCTAAATCTTTTGATATACTGGCTGAGCGCTCCAAACCAGTTTTCCTGAAGTAAGTGTCTGAAACGAATAAACAAAGCAATTTAAGTTTTTTTCATTATGTGTTACAAAAATTGGAGAAATCAGGTTCATATCTATGCACAGAGCTGATCCTTGCATTGAAACTTATTCAGCTGAATGTTCAGCTAGATAGGAAAGCCTGACGTTAGAGTAATAAACAGATGAAGACGTCCACATAGGTTCCCATCGTAACCCCACATCCATGGGGATTTCAAACAACTTAGTTATACATGATGATACTCTCATGATGCAGGGGTCCAAAGAAAATGTATAAATTATGAATCTAAATTGCTCAGACATTGCACAAGTCAAAACATGACACATCACTGGACAATGAGGAACTAAATGCAAATGTAACATCTCGCTCTGCATGCAACCCTAATATCCAATCACTACGAGTTGAGCATGGAATCATGAATCCTATCACTAAAAAATTATTTATTTTGCAGCTGAAAAAAAGTTGAAGGTGGTTCCCCCACCTTTCAGATTGTAATGTAGTGATAACCATCAATAAGTGGAAAAAAACACATGCACAGACATAGAGGCGATGAATTATAAAATTTGAAATAATTGACTAGTCTATAAGTATAAATTTTTTTTCATGAATGAATCAAATGATGAACTAAACTAGTAGAACATATTGAAATATAAGAAACTCAAGGATATAAATAAGCAAGAATGAAAATCTTTTTTTTCTCCAGCAAAAGGCATAAAAGAAATGAATTACATAGGATTTGAAAATTAAACAAATTGCACACTGAGATTTAGTGAAATCCACAAACACCAAAGAAGGTCAAAAGAAATCAATAATCTAAATATATAAATCACTTCCATAGACAATCAACTAATGTGCTTCCCCAGCTGCATGTGATGCGCTCCACCTTAAAAGAATGATATTGCATCCAACACACCTTAAGACAAAGACCCATCCATCCAAATAGCAGACAAGTTTCTAAGATTATAGACCTTATAGTTATCTACATGCTCGAAGAAGGCATTGTTCTTCCAATTATAGTGTCTGATATCATTACTCCAAATTAACAATTAGTTGGAATCCTAAGAACTTTCAGTTTTCAGAGTTTTATGAGGGCGCACACTGTTGCCATTAGGCATTGGCAAAATTTACAAATAGAATTGAATAACGGAAGAGATATGGCAGTCCAATGATGGCTTTTATTAGCTAATGCAAAAACAATGGTCATGAGAGGACCCTAAATGTGACTGGATAACGTACACTTTATTCCAAATATCGGACACAAAGTGGCCCAAATGTATGCATTTGCTCCAAAACTAGTATCTTTCCAATGAGAAGGTCTTTTTAATTAGTAGTTGACATCATAATCATATCAAAACTGAGAACGAATTCATGTTAATCTTAAGCACATTTGAACCCCAAATCTAATAATGCTACTCACATGCGAAAGTGGCCCAAATGTATGCATTTACTCCAAACCTAGTATCTTTCCAATGAAAAGGCCTTTTGAATTATTAGTTGACATCATAATCATGTCAAAACTCAGAACGAATTCATGTTAATCTTAAGCACATTTGAAACCCAAACCTAATAATGCTACTCACATGCGACATCGGTGGATTCGTCGACGATCTTTTCTAAGGTTTCGAAGACGAGCTTGCTATCAACCAAGTACTTGACAAAGCCCTCCATGCTCGGCCGCCACGTGTCGCTCGCTTCGCGTCGGAACCCCCGCGCCGCGCCGCCGCTTCAATGTTGTCATTTCGGAGCTTCATCGCGACGAATCGCATCTCTTCGACGATTCCTTTGGCTTCGCCGGGATAAGCTTTTCTGTACCTGACCCGCTTGCTCTTCACTACTGCGGCAGAATTCGTCGAGGGATTTGAGATGCAGCTACAAGAAATTGAAGATGAGGGCTTGGGTTCAGTGCAAATTTTGTTGAAGGATGTCAGAGTTTCTGCGGTTTTGAGTTTGAACTGATGGGGACGAAGATGAGGGGGGAGAAGAGAGTGGGCCGGACGAAGTGAAGAAGTCATTTTTTTTCTTTTTCGCTCTCACGATTGCGTCTCGTGTTTTGCTACAGATAAGGAGGAAAGCAGGATTCGGGTTGGGTTTCGGATCAATGTCTCTTTTTTCGGATTCGGGTCTTAAATAGATGGGTTTTGTCGCTCGTGGCATTAGGATGAGACAAATTTTTAAAAAATAATTGAAGTCTTGATTTAAAAATATAGTGTGTATACAACCATTTAAGATTAAAATACAACAAGTCACATCGGAATAAATAAAATAACTAATATCATATATCAAAAAACTCTTGAATACAACATGTATTTAAAATTAGAGGCCGACATAGTCACATAGTATTTTAATTCAATGAGTAATTTTGAAAGTGGGTGGACTTAAACTATGGTGCATTTTACAGATGCTTCAGCGTATAGAATAATATTTTGAATTAGTCCCTCAAATCATTGAATTTGCCAAAAAAAAAAGGCAAGAGATGATGAGATGTTATTTCACAATAGGACTAGTATTATTATTTTGGAGAAATTTTTGAAAGAGGCGGGTTTTTAAAAATATTTAGCAAAAACAACTGTTTTGCTAAATACTTAGTAAAAACGACCTATTTTGAGTCAACTCATCAAGGCTGGCAAAAAATATGTCGATTTTGCAAAATGTAGGTTTCAAAACACACGGGACTACTAGTCCCATGTATTTAGTGCATCAAAGCAAAACCCCCTCAATTTCTTCGATTCTCTCACCAAACCAAATCAAAGGCCCCCGCCACCTCTCTATCCTCCAATTCTTCTTCTTCCTCCTCTTTCTTTGATGATGTTGTCGTCTTCTTCTAGGGTTTAGAGATGGTTCTTCATTTCTATGTCGTCGTCATCGTCAACGATCCCGAGCGCTGCCAACATCAAGATTTGCTTCAACTCTGACTGTAGGGACCCCACATCAAGGTCCAAGTTCTTGGAGATGAAGGATTGAGAGCAGAGGGGCTCAAGGCCGGAGCGGAGGCCAGGCCAAGAGGACGGAGTAGCCGATGATATTTGTGAAGCCGATGGGGAGGACGCCACTGGCGTGGGCGAGGAGGCCGAGGCAGAGAATGAAGATGAGGGCGCGGAGGTACACGACCAGGTTCATGGTGGTAATGAGGAGCGAGCAAGAGGACGGACCGGAGCTTGTCCAGCGTTTGGAGGCTTGGGTTTTTGAGGTCGTCTTCCTGGATCTTTGAGGTCGTCACCATCAAGGCCGGAGGCCAGGCCAAGAGGACGGAGTAGCCGATGATATTTGTGAAGCCTATGGGGAGGACGCCACCGGCGTGGGCGAGGAGGCCGAGGCAGAGAATGAAGATGAGGGCGCGGAGATACACGACCAGGTTCATGGCGGTAATGGGGAGCAAGCAAGAGGACGGACTGGAGCTTGTCCAGGGTTTGGAGGCTTGGGTTTTTGAGGTCGTCTTCCTGAATCTTTGAAGCCGTCACCATCTCCCTCCTCTGGATCACCTCGGCCCCCTCATGCTCTTCCTCGACCAGAACCTCTCCATTACCTCTATCGTCGTCTCTTACTGCCTCTTCTCCCTACCTGACCTCCTCACCAACTCCCTTCTCCAGCCCCTCCACATCACACAAGGGTCTGGGGCTTGTGTTTTCTGCTACTGAAAACTCACATGACTACTAGTCCCATGAGAATTTTGTGGTATATTAAGTGGCTGATTAGCCAGCCTTAAACACATGAGACTAGTAGGTAAGTGTATTTTGAATCCCATATTTTGCAAAATCGACCTCTTTTTATCTAGCATTAGTGAGCTGTCCAAAAAAAAGTCGATTTTGCTAAATATTTAGCAAAATGATCGTTTTTGTAAAATATTTTTTAAAATTAGTTTCTTTTAAAAAATTCTCCAGACGTTATTTAAATAGGAGTAGCTAAGTTAATTTATGAAAATAAATTATTTTAACAGAATATTCTAATTTTATTTCCTACAAGGTTGCAAAGGCCGATAAAAGTGAAGGATAATTATAATTACTATGATTTAAATGTTAATTATATATTATAAAAAACCATCTAGGATCTACTCCTCTATATTTAAAGGACAACGCAAAAATTATTGTTCATGCTATAGTAAATAATATAGCATAAACAGTAAATCAAGTCTGGTCATTTGCACTCAAAATTATTGCTTATACTACAGTAATTTACTGCAGCATAAACAATAAATCAAATCAAGCCTGGTCATTTGCACTCAAAATTATTGCTTATTGGAAAGAGGCGCATGCTAGGACAATATGGAGATGAAATGAGTGGTACTAGAGAATGAGATGAGATGAGTGGTACTAGAGAATCGTAGAGTAGAATTTTCTTTTTTTTTACGTGTCGGATTACATTACTAGATAGTGGGACATCATTAGAAGATGCATGGATATTACTAATACATGAGATCACAACATGGTTCATATTCTATTGCCAGTCAGATACATGTCTAAGGGTTTAATAGAGAGAGAATATGTAAGTGTTTTACTTTTGTCAAACAAAGATTTAAACTTGACTTGTTTTTGTATTCCTATAAATGGCTTATATGTGCTTTTTATACCTTAATTAATTACAAATACAATGAATGAATTGTATAACTATTGTCATTATAGTACAGATCCTCAAGGTTCAAGCTCATGCATCTATATGTTAGTAGTTAGTGCAGAGGGTTCACCAAGATTTTCATGAAACTCAAGAGGATCTTCATGATAGGCTTGTGGTCATGACAGAGTAGGATATATTACACATGTTCATGATATATAGATGTGTGGACATGAAGGAGTACGCTTTCTCATATACACACGCCAGCACGAGAAGACGTGGAGGGACCTTTGTGAGTGGGGGTGGGGGCCACAGCGTGCGTGTGTCCCTTCTTTGCACGTGAGGTGTTTACGAGAACACCCAAATTTAAGCAGGTCAGGCCCACTCGTTCTCATATTCCTCCTATAAATAGCAACTATACTTTCTAGGGTTGAGTGCAAGGGTTTTTGTTTTTTTTTTTTGGCAAAGGAGATTTTTCGGCTGCAGCAAGAAGAAAAGCAAAGAAGGAAAAAAGCAAAGAAGGTTCGCGCTGAATTTGAGAGCACTCTTTAGAGCCAAATTTGAGAGGGTTTGTGTATCCTTTTTGAGAGAGAAATTATGAGAGATTCAAGAGATTGTTTGTGGGTTTTTATTTGTGAGATCTTGTGTGATTGTAAACCCTATTTTTATTCTCTTTCTCTCTAATAGTAGATCTCCCCTCTCCTTGTCCCATGGACGTAGGCAACTTGCCGAACCACGTAAAATAGTTTGTCTTGCTGTAATTTGTAATATCTTATTAGGTTCTCTCGACAAGTCAGTCCTAGAGCTGATGAGAGAAAGATTGAGATATATTACTTTCGATTCTTGTTTCCTTTGTGAAACATGGATTTAGTTGTGATCTTACTCTCTTATTGTGCACCAGAAGTACTGCAGAAATTTTCGCTGTGCACAACAAGTGGTATCAGAGCCTAGGTTTGGGCTTGGGGCTTGTTCGAAGGATTCGCTGAAGGATTCTTATTTGAAGAGTTAGATCTACAACATGGGTGAAACAAGCACATCGGAACGTCTCTTTCGAAGGCGATACAGAGTCTGAGCATCAATAATATAAAGATTGATGTTCCGAAGTTCGATGACAATATCAATTTTGGTTTGTGGAGGTGTCAGGTGATGGAAGCCTTGGATGCACAAAATTTGGAGGAAACTCTTGAGTTACAAGACAAATTCGAAGACATGGAGGGTAAGGTTTGGAAGAAGATGAACAGTAGGCTTGTGGAGTTATTTGGTCATGCTTGACGCCGGATCTTGTTTATGATGTTATGAACGAGACATTGACGAAGAGATTATGGGAAATACTCAATGAGAAGTATCTTACTAAGAGCATTGAGAATCGGTTTTACTTGAAGAAGAGGTTTTATCAGTTTAAGATTAAGAGGGTAGTTTCCATTAGGGAGCATGTAAACAACACGAAGCTACTTTTAGATATGATTAATGTGGACATCATGGTTGAGAATGAAGACAAGACGATGCTACTTTTGTGTTCATTATCAGAGGATGATTATGATACGTTCATTCTCACTATGATCAATAGAAGAACTACTGTTAGTTATAAGGAAGTGACCTTAGCATTGGTAAATTATGAGTTAGGGAAGAGTGATGGTGAACCCTCCGAGAAGGCATCGGGAGATGCATTAGCAGTTCGAGGTCGTGATCCAAACCCCTGCCAGTTCAACCGCTCAAAATCAAAGAATAGAGGTGACCATAAGAGTATTGGTAGGAATCAATGTCGTTTTTGTAAAGAAGAGGGACACTGGAAGATCGACTGTCCAAAGTTAAATGATAAAGTCGGGAAGAATAAAGGGAAAGCTGTACAAGTTTCAGAAGTGAATATTGTCAAGACTAGTAATGACAATTTAGATACGGATTCTTCGGGGTTTTTATGCTCAACATTACCGTCAGTTTGTTATGCTGACTCTACGAAGTGGATAATGGATTATGATGCTACATACCATATTTGCCCTAGGAGTGATTGGTTCTCCAGCTTTGAGGAGCTGGAAAGAGGGGATGTCGTGCTTATGGGTAATAACCACATATACCTTAGTGGTCGTATTAGTACAGTTCAGATCCGCATGTGTGATGAGGTGACTCAGGAGCTGAAGAAAGTAAGGTTCGTGCCGTAGTTGACGAAGAACATTATTTCACTTGGAACTTTGGAGGCAGCTGGCTATCGGGTGATCTTGGAGAATGCAACTCTGAATGTCATGAAGGGGTCCATGGTGATGATGCGAGATGTCAGGGAAAATAACCTATTCTACTTGAAGGGCAAGATAGTTATAGGGGGTCTGGCAACTTCTATTACTACAGAGAATGACACTATCAATTTAGACACATGTGTTTAGGACACACTGGTGATAAGTCCTTACATGCATTGGCAAAATAAGGGCTATTAAATGGTGTGAAGACCTGTAAGATGGAGGTGTGTGAGCATTGTGTACTTGGAAAGAAGACGAGTGCGAAGTTTGGCACTGCTATTCACAATATCTAAGGTATATTGGATTACA